TTTAAAATTAGAAAAAAACTAAGTCATGAAAAGGCATCAAATAAAAAGGAGATATTAGATTAGGCATCGTTTTCAGTGCTATACTTCACAAAACTCAATGTTAATTTTAATCAACATAGTTCTCATTTTTAATCAGCTAATGGAAAACATAAATCAGCCACTCAATTTTTTCAAATAAGTAATTTTGGGGGGCCAAGTGCATATCAAAGTTCCTGATGAACTGATTAAGAATATTACATAAAAATTCATCTACTTTCTCATTATCAAACACTTTTTGCTTTTCATCATTATGCTGTTGAGATTTAGCTGACGGATTCCATTCTAATACATCTAATACTTTTGTTGCAACACCAATACAGTATCATTGTAAACTCAGTACTTATAATTCACAGGGTCCACGCAATTCTTTCTTCATTCTATAATAATAAGCCAACATAAAGTCATCCTCATGATCATATTAAAGTTAATTTCCTACAAATTATATGTCATGCTCATAAGGCATGACTCTGCATTTAGACAGTGCTTATCCGCTAAGAGGCTCTAACCATTGCCTTGTATTTTCTTTATGCATGTATGTCACTCTTGTAAAGAGAGATTCTTTATTTCCAAGGTATCCATTTTCTGATTTTCACTAAAAACTTAGTGTTCTTAAGATCATAAATGTCATATCCAATCAAATTACTATTCCATTGTCCTCATTATTCAGTCTTTCACCAGTACAAACAAGAGCTGTTTTATGGAAAACCATTCATTTATTCAATCTACTGCTAGGTGCTTAAGGAAGCTGTAAAAATGAATCAAAGCCAACTCTGCATTTATGCTCTCATAAGCCTAAATGGGAAGAGAGATATGAAAACAATCCTCGTGTATCACAGGGCAGTTAAAGCCATGCTTTAGGCAAGTGAGACAGTGGAGAGGGAGGAAAACATGTTCAAAGTAGGCGCTACTAAACGAGGTTATTTGTCAGAGGATAGGAGAGAAAACAAGGAAGCCTTACATTCCAAAGAGAGAAAATACCTGAGCAACAGAGGCATGAATGAGACTGGAGAGACAGAAATTGTAAGAGGAATGCTCTCTTCCTGGCCAGAAGTCTTATTTTTAGTTAGCATATGCAGATTTAACTCCACACACCATTTGGACAACCACAGAATTTTCAACTTAGAATAGAAGAATCACAAGTTAATTCAAATATAAAAGCAAATTTGGCAAGATCCTGTGGTTACTGCCAAACTGTTACCCTGACTCTGCTGAGAACCAATGGACATCTGCTTCTCCTGCCAGTTATTCCCAAGTGGCCTGTTGGAGCGGAGATCCTGCTAATCTATGGAACTGCTGCCACTGTACTGTGCCCGTTATATTTTGTTCATTCTACATCCTATGATAATATTCCGTGCCACTTATAATTAAACATAATTTTAATGCTTGAGAATGCACACACTGGCAGTGCAAGGTATCCAATGTTCAAGAGAGCAGGTCACATGAAGATTTCCTGCATTAGCAATGTGGTGGGAAAGTGGTACCTACAAACAAAAAATGAGAATCTTTGTGGAACTTCTCTCTATCTACTTATCTACCTATCCACCTACATGTATAGGTACTTATTACATGTCATTTGCTGCCTTAGTCCTCAACTGTCTCCCTTTTCCGTAAGCATGATTTCACAGAAATGGTGTAAGTTCTTCAAAGATATTGACTCAGGCCCCACAAACTAAAACAAAAATAATGAACTAAAATTTTAAGTGCTGCTAAAATTCATCTCTTTTCCAAATCTGAAATCCTTTCTATCAGTATATAAGGTCCCCAGGACCCAAATTAGAGAGCAAGGCCTGTGAGGAAAAGATACGCTAACGCTCACTTCTGCCTCTCCTTTTCAGTGTAGTATCCTCACTTCTAATACATGTTCAAGTCCATAACCAGTCAAGTCAGATGCTGGGCTTTCAGTTAGTGTATTTATGGACTGTCTCTTTCCAGTAAATTATAACACACCTGAAATCCTATAAAGAAGAAATGTTGAGATTACCATGATGAGCTGATAAGTAATTTGTTGGGAAATGGAGGAGATAAGGTTTAAAAAATAACTCAGAATACCTTACTTCGGAAAGAAAGTTTGCTCTCTCCAGTATCTCAGTCATACATGATTAGAGAACTTACACGTGTAGGTTGGCCAGATACCCAATCTACCTTCTAAAGTGAGCACAATATTCCTACCTAACTTTACATCAACTTACAAAGGAGACATTTTGAGAAAATGGATTTGTCTGGGAAGCTGTTTTGTTGTGGTCCATTACTCTATACTATTAGAAACAGTTTTCCTTACATTTTTAGGGCCTTTTCTTCAGTGCAGGTGGTAAGGTCTCCTTGGCTCATGATCACATTATGTCATTTAGGAAAAGAATTTAGGACATTGCTCAAACAATGTTATATGCAGGTCTTACAGCACAAGGGGCAGACACAACTTGCAGAGGATTCAGATTACACTGTCAAGGTAAAGAATGCCTTATAGACTGGAGAGAAGGCTCTGCAGAGATTCTGAATTGACAGAGAAGCTACAGGAATGATGATAAAGGATATGAGGATTCATGATCAGTGCATCTTTAACTCTTTGATCAGCTATAATTGAACAGACCACAACAGAGCTCCGATAATGTGAGAAATCCATGGAGTGATATATGAGAGCCAATGAGGTGCAGAGATGGTTTGGAGGTCATATAAAGCAGAGTTTCGAGTTCCACAGTTCCAGTTTACTAGGTATTGTCCCTCAGAATGCTTTCTGCTCTTCCCCAGTATCAGGATCATCTAATACAACCCTAAAGTGCTATGAAGAGAGTTGTAAATAGTGCACATGTAGCTGGCATTGTGGTGCAGCAGGTTGGACTGTTGCCTGTAACACTGTCATCCCACATGTGAACCGGTTCAAGTCCTGGCTACTCAGCTTCAGATTCAGCTCCCTGCTAATGTGTCAGGCAAAGCAGCAGATGACGGTCCAAGTGTTGGGCTCTTGCATCCATGTGGGAGACATGAATGGAACTCCTGGTGCCTGGTTTCATCCTGGCTCAGTGCCTAGGCATTGCAGCCATTTGGGGAGTGAACCATCAGATGGAAGATACCTCTCTAACTCTACTTCCAAGTAAAATAAATAAATCTTTTTAAAAATAGTGCATATAAGACACTAGCCATAGGTTTGATATTTAACATGTATGAATTATTATTACAGAAACAGCATTGGGTATCTAGTTGAATTATATCAATTGTAATTCTAAAACAACGCTATGTTTCTGCATATTTCTTACGAAATGGCTCATTCCTTTCCAGTGCTCCTCTACAGAACCTCTATGTGGAATTTTTCATGTCTTCAATATCCTCAAACTTTTGGAGTCGTAGGAAAAATTCAGAATTTCTTTCTGTTTTCCTAAGAACCAGCATTACATCCTTGGACATAGCATGGAAGTTTATGCTCAATAAATTTCATGCATCTTACATGTAACTTCTCCGAGTATTGTCACTCCATAGCGAAGAGAGGATGGTGACTGGAAGGTGTCTATTAAATTCCTGCCATTGATTACAGAGACAGCTTGTGAGGCTCACTTAGTAGATGCAAGGAGCATGTGACAGACCCTCCTAGATAAGGAACCTCCATCTAGAGGGCTGAGTGACAACCAGTTCCAAGCAAGTCAGGGCTTTGCATTTCTGGCCTGATACTCTTTTCTCTGCATTATCTTTTCAGCGTCCTCTGTTCAGCCCTTATTCTTTCCTTTCTGGAATGGCTCTGTAAATATTTTAGCTTCATAGAAGTTCCTATGACATGTCAAAATATTCCAGCTCTATGTTTACTCAGCCTAACTCAGTGAGCAAACCTGGTAAATCTTGGATATTGTTTGTTTGACATGTCTGCTTTCACCGTCTTTTGACTCCTAATATTATTGTTAAGGATTCACGGGTTTCATTTAAACCAATAATTCTTCATCAAAACACAAATCCAGAAAATCTGACCTCTTAGTAAATATTTCAAAACTACACATATATATAAAGCTCCAGCTCCCTACTTTTCTTCGACTCCCTGTCACAACATTCACCACGTGTATGAATAATCATCTGGAGCTGGTGCTTGGGAACGTGGCTGAAAAATGGGATTCCTCACATTCGGAGCTAGAAACCACGCATAACATATTCACTGAACAAAGCAAAGACGCAAGCACTATCCATAGCGTGCCTCACTCAGCCCCAGGGCAGACATCCGCCCTCACCCTCAGAGAGGTGGCCGTTACCACTTTGGAAGAAGGCCCAGTGATCTTTGCATTAGTGTATCTGAAACAAATGCTCTTGCTTTATTTTATCTCATCTTGTCTGTGGGTGAAAGCAGAAGACACCAAATCAACATTCCTTCACACTAATTGTTTTTTCCTCATAAGGTGGTTTTGGGGGTTGGTGCTGTGGCATAGCTGGTAAAGCCACTTGCTGCAGTGCCAGCATCCCAATCAGGTGCTAGTTTGATTCCCGGCTGCTCCACTTCTGATCCAGCTCTCTGCTATGGCCTGGGAAGGCAGCAGAAGATGGCTCAAGTACTTGGGCCCCTCTACCAAGTGGGAGACCCAGTAGAAGCTCCTGGCTTCTGATTGGTGCAGCTCTGGCCATTGTGGCCTTCTGGGGAGTAAACCAGTAGATGGAAGACTTCTCTCTCTCTGCTGCCTCTGTATAACTCTGCCTTTCTAACAGATAAATATTTTTTTTAAAAGAGTGGTTTCCACTCAATCTATTCAATATTCCATTCAATTCTGACAAAGACTGGGTTTCTACTATCTTCTTGATTTCCAGTTACTAATAAACTACCTGGCACACAGCAGGCAGGAAATAAATGATACAAAATTGACTTACTAATTAATAAATCAGAAGTCTTCGGTACTAAAGCAAAGACAATAGATCCTCATTAACCTTTTCTGGAAAGAATACAATGCAAAGGAATCTGTCACTGACATGTACTGTTTTTGCAGCAAAAAAAAAAAAAATCCTATGTTAGTGAATACACACCATCTTCCAACTCTACGGTAAGGAGTCTGTGGACAGCAGTGGTATGTCTCATAACATCCTTAATTTTGATGCTTAGTTCCAAAGCATCTGGGACATCGGGACACGTTAGCCAGAAGATGGTTACTTGCTCCCTTTCTCCTTTCAAACTCCTCACAGACAAGTAACAGAACAGTACCACTGGAGCGACCTGTGTCTGAGGCCCGCAGAAGAGCAGTTGTTCTCTCGGTAGCCAGCCTCCACAGCCTTTGCATTCTCTCAAATCAGCTCTAAATCTTACGAATAAACCGTACTTTAAGTGTCTATAAACAGCAGCACATGAAACGCTTGTCTAGGCATAAAGATGAGTCTCAGGTACCAGGGGAGGGTGAGTGATGTTTTTGTCAGGTTATGGAAAGACAGAGCATACATTAGGAAAATCATCCCAAGACAGGAATTCTGAAGCTAGGAATGTGTCCAAATGGCCCTGGGGAATATTGACACTTAATGCCAGTGTTGGGTTCCTGCCTCTAGGCAACATTTGCTGACACTTTAACATTAGATTCTATGTATTTGTGATAAAAACTCAGCACTCCCAATTCTTTCACATATAAGTTATTACTCTGCATTGTGACAGCTTGTCTTTTTTCTTTCTCCAAATGTTTGCTGAGAAATTACTCTGTCTACCAACGTTTATATGGTGGCCACTACAATGCCTGACACAATGCAGATAAGCAACACATTCTTTTAATCAATCAGTCCTGATTTCTGTCTGCTGTGCTTAAGAACATTCCCATTAAATTCCAAGTTTGCTTTCTGCGTGCTTAGAAAAGTTCATTTTTTCCATTACCAAGAAAAATCTAATTTTCTTTTGCCACAGCTTTCATCTCTCTAGAGAAAGGGACTCTATAGATTAAATTTGGTGCTACAAAGTACAGAAGTATAGTATACTGAGGCAGGTGTTTAACTTAGCAGTTAGGATACCAGCTAAGACATCTGTATCTCTGAGAACCTGGGATGAATTCTTAGCTCTGGCTCCTGATTCCAGCTTCTTATCAATGCAGATCCTGTGAGACAGCAGCAGGATGCCTCAAGTAAGTAGGTTCCTGCTACCCACATGGAGATGTGGATAGAGTTTCAAGCTCCCATCTCCAGATCTGGCCCAGCCTCAACCACTATAGGCATCTGAGGACTGAATTAGCAGCTGGGAGTGTGCTTTCTTGCTCTCTCTCCCCACCCTTCTCTGTCTTCACACTTCAAATAAAATAATATGCTAATCCGATAACTGTTACTTCTCAAGTGTGTTTTCAGCCAATATACTTGAATGTTTAAATATAAACAGTCGGGTACAGCTAAAGTCTTTCGCCTGTTTCAGCTTATTTTGTAGGATGACAGCCTATAATGTCACATCCTGAAACACAACCAGTAAAAAGGTCAGACATTTCCATAACATACCTTCACTTGGCATCTGTTGTACTATACTCTGCTGGTTTTGATCCTACGCAATGGCTCTACTGGCTCAGGCTCCTAGATTCCTGTTTTTCCAAGATTAGTCCCAGATCCCCTCTCTACTCCATCCACATTCACTTTCTATATAATCTCATCCCAGCAAACACTGATAATACCTAAATATAAGTCTCTGGGTCTCTGAATTCAAAGTCCCATTTGAATGTGTAACAGGCATTTCAGAACCAACCAACACAGAACACCAAATCTTGCCTCATACCTGTTCTATGAAGAGTGCTTCCTATCTCTGGAAATGGCAACGTCATTCTTCCCCATGCACAGGTCATAACAAAACAAAGCCTTGTCCCTCCCACTTCACATCTAATCCATCAGCAAACGGTCTTGCAAAATTAAGTGCATCCTCCTGCAGCTACCCTCCAATCTTGCTCCCAACCGCCTTGATTTATTGCCTTTTAATTGCAACAGTTACTTAAAGGACATGTTTGCTTCTGCCCTTGCTCCCTACAGCTTATCCTTAGCACAAGGATCATTATAATCTTTCTAAAAACAAAATTTGGACCATGCCACACCTCTGCTCCAGTCAGTCCAAAGACTACCCATCCCAAACAGAGAAAAAGGCACCTAGACCACCCACATCTTTTGTTTCTGATTCCTCTATGACCTCATCTTCACTATTGATTCCTTGCCTACTTTGAGTTATAGAGATGTGACATTCCTTCAAAGAATCAAGTCACTTGCTCAAGTAATTTGCCCTTGATTTCCCCAACATGGGACTCCTTTGTAAGAGAACTCCAAGTCTCATTGTCTTACCTCCCTCAGCCTTCACTTCAAGAGTCAACATTCAACAAGCCTTTCCCAGGCCATCCTATTAAAAATGAGATTCCTGGGGCGGCTTTTGATGCAGCAGTCAAGTCACGGCTCAGGATACTCACATCCCATATCAGAGTGTCTACTTTGAGTCCCAGCTACTCCATTTCTGATCCAGCTTCCTGTTCATGCACACCCTAAGAGGCAATGCTGAAAGCTCAAGTAATCAGTAATTCCCACACACATGGGAGACCCTGTTTGGGTTCCCGGCTTCTGGCTTGATTTAGCCCAACCCTGGCTGTTGTGGGCCTTTAGAGTGTAAACCAGAGTATGGAAGGTCTCTGTACCTCTCAACTAAAATGAATATTATATTATTATTTTAGATTTATTAAATTTATTTATTAAATATTTATTAAGAGGCAGAGTTAGAGAGAGGGATCTTCCATCCGTTGGTTCACTCTCCAAGGGCTGCAACAGCCAGAGCTGGGCCAATCTGAAAGCAAGAACCAGAAGCTTCTTCTGGTTCTCCCAGGTGGGTACCAGGGCCTCAAACACTTGGGCCATCTTCCATTGCTTTCCCAGGCCATTATCAGGGAGCTGGATCAGAAGTGGAGAAGCCAGGACTCAAACAAGAATCCATCCAGGAAGTCAATGTTGCAGGTGGAGGCTTAATCTACTATGCCACAGCACTGGCCCCTAAAATAATATATTTTAAAAACAATTTTAGGTGCCGGCACTGTGGTGCAGTGGGTTAACACCCTGGCCTGAAGCACCCGCATCCCATATGGGAACCGGTTTTAGTCCTGGCTGCTCCTCTTGGAAGAATCCAGCTCTCTGTTATGGCCTGGGATAGCAGAAGATAGCCCATGTCCTTGGGCCCCTACACCTGTGTACAAGACCTAGAAGAAGCTCCTGGCTTCAGATCGGCACAGCTTTGGCTGTTGCAGCCATCTGGGGAGTGAACCAGTGGATGGAAGACCTCTCTCTCTTTGCTTCTCTTCTCTCTGTGTAAATCTTTCAAATAAATAAATAAATCTTTAAAAAATAATTTTATAAAACTTAAAAAAAATAATTTGAAATTTTTTACTCTACACTCTCTATCCCCCACCCCCCTTTTTTCAGTTTTAAGGAATTATTGATATGTTCGATTCTCAGGGTCATAGCAAATGCATGATAATTATTAAAACACAATTTTTACCAATTATGTTAATATGATACTAATATAAAGAGAATAGTCAATGTATTCCACAAATTCAAGTCTACAAATGATACTTGCCTTCTTTATTCCCTCCCTCCCCTTTCTTTTTAAAATTTTTGAGATACCATATTTTAAATTTACATTAAACAGGTTTCATAGTCTATTAAAGAAAGTATTCAACAAGTAAAAGCTTAAAAAATTAATTCAGCAGACATATAGGCAAGGGCTATAAACAATTATCAAGGGAAAAGATGTCCATTTCACTGATATACAGTTAAATAATGAGTTCCTTTTTTCTTCCGAGAACTTCTTAGGACACCATAATATTTTAGTGTCCTAATTTCATGCCATTCCAAACAGAACTCATCTAACCAATATTTCCACATACCAGCATTCTCCTCCTTAACCCTGACAACTTTCTCCTGACCCCAAACAGAATGACAGGTTAGAGTGCGATTGTCCTGTCTTCACACTGGACAGTCATGAAGCCGTTCTTTCTCCACAATACCAGTGCTGCAGTGTTTCTGTGTACAATGCACGGTGGCCATACCTCGTTTGGAAATGGTTCTAATTCTTCTTCAATTTTTTTATTTAAGATGAACAACTTTCATGAATTTCATGTATACAGATTCTGGAGCATAGTCAAACTTCCCACCCTACTCTCCCTCCTCTTTCCTTTCTTAGTCTTTTAATTTTGAAACATGCAAGTGCACTGGTTTCCTGAATTTTTGTTTATTTGTGGCCTGTCTCTCCCCTTTAGAACCTAAGCTCCATGAGTGCAGACTTTGTCTTCTGTTATGGGTAAAGCAGGAATTGTGGCCACAAACTGATGTTAAGATGCTGAAACTCTGCTGTGTTAATGTTAAGTGTTGATGGACTGAAGGTGGAGACTTGCTCTAATTATGGTGTCTGAGAAACAGGTCTTTAGTTTGTTGAGGTTGTGCTTTGGAGCATGGTTCTCACCAGAGAGTTGGCTGTTCGAGTTCAAGTCCCGCCTGGTTATTCTTTGTCTTCTTGGCTCATCATGTGATAATCCCTCCACAACCGTCATGACAAGTTTCTACCAGATGCTAGCGTATGAATCCACCTGATACTGAACTGTAACTTCTAAACTGGAAACTGAAAAAATCTTTTCTTTCTCAAGAAGCCCCTCTCTAATGTTTTCTCTCTAGTGATCAAAGTGGACTTTGAGCTGTTGACTGAGCACATCCCACAATGCCTGGTCCACATGAGGCCTCAATAAATACTTAATACATAAATAATTACAGATATAAATCTGGTTAGGAATCATTTGGGGTCCTTGGTAGCCTTTTTCCTTAGTCACTTACTTCCAACCAATGGCATCCTAACAGACACATAACCTTTTTAATACATTACTAGAGATATTTTTGCATGGAATTTTCCAGGCTTAACATAAATTAAAAAGGAACACAGAATACATAAATGACTACATAGAATAGATGCTGCTATAAATCAGCTGGTCCCAGTACTCTCCTAGGAAATATAATTTGTTGGAAGCACATTATTATTCTACAAGCAACCTTTATGGGCAAAATGCAAGACTTTTGTGACAATTATTTCACCATGCAACTTCACATTAATACAAAGTAAATATTTTGTTATGTTCTATATAACTACAATTGCAACTTTATATTATTTTCATGAATGAATACTACTGAAATAGTATTGATAGAATAATTTTTAAATCAAATCATGCTCATTCTAGTCAAAGTTTTCTAAAAACACAGAGAAAGCAGAGGCTTACAAATTTTTATCTTAAGCTATTAAAATGTAATTAGATTTATAAATTAAATACATGTTTCATATTCTAAGTTCTACTTTCATTTGAATCTTATAAAACAAAAACATGTATGCTATAGAACCTATTATAAAAGTCAAGGCTTAATCAAAACATTTGATAGTTTAATAAACCCCAAATCAAATAAGTACTCATTAATAACCAGTTGTTTCAGAAAGATATTGCTTGCTTGCTTCCCATCTAGCAACAATCACTACCCCTCTCATAATCTGATGCCCAGTATCTTAAAAACACGTATTTTATATTTTTGCTTGTTTCAGGTAGACAGTAAGTCTGAAATATGCCAGATGGGGGCCAGCGTTGTGGTGCTACATGTCAAGCCACCAAACCTATGATGCCAGCATCCCATTTCAAGTCCTGGCTGCTCTGTTTCCAGTCCAGCTCCCTGCTAATTAATGATCCCGACAAAGTAATGGAAGACATCTCAAATACTTGGGTCCATGTCACCTAAGTGGGAGACCCAAATGGAATTCCTGGTTCCTGGTCTTGTCCTGGGGAGTGAAACAACTGATAGGAGATCTGTGGTTATCTGTATTTCCCTCTGTCACTCTGCCTTTCAAATACATAAAATACATCTTAAAAACTATTCAGGGCTGGAGTTACTACTTAGCAGGTAAAGCCACTGCTTGCAATACAGAATCCCATATGGTGCCAGTTCATGTCTCCCTGCTCCACTTCTGATCTAGCTCCCTGCTAATGGCCTTGGGAAAGCACCAAAAGGCAGCCCAAGAGTTGGACTCCTGTTCCACTTAGGAGACCTGGATGAAGCTCATGGCTTTGACTTGGCCCAATTTTTGTAAAAGATTGTGGCCATCTGGAAAGGGAAATGCTGGATAGAAGCTCGCTCTGTCTCCCTCTCTCTCTTTCAAAATCAATCAATACATCTTTACAAATATTCAGTTGTATAAGATAAACATAAAATTCTTTAGAAATGAACAGAAAAGTAAATGTCTGACTGAAGATATCTTACTGATTGAAGAACCGGATTCCAAAACCAAGTCCCAAATCTTAGACAGCTTCAACTTAACTCATCATTAACACCTGACACTTTAGTAATTAGAATTTTTCACATTGTCTTTCCCCTGGAATGTGAGCTTCATGGAGAAAATAATTCCATGTTGTGCTTCCCACTAAGCCTTTGGGTCACACAGTTGGTACACCAGGCATGTTCAGGATGAATATGGGAAAACAAGCAGCAACTTGGAATGGTGGATTGCTGAGTCATACCTGTGACAGCAAAGAAAGGATATTTATTTATCAGCCTATGATGTTTATGGAAGGAGGAGTCTAAGACTTGGAGGTATAAACAGTATGGAAAACAACTTTCACAAGGAAAAAACAAAAAGTTAAACAAAAACACTGTGATCCTATGAGAAAAGTACATTTGACACTGAACTGCCAGACTCCTTTGTTAGACATTTGCTCAGTGGAAATTTTACTCTGATTCCTATTGGCTCTGAAATGGGAATCTTCAAAGTCAAAAACTCCTATGGTAGAAGACACGACATCAGTCACTCAGGCATTGTGTTCATGCAATTTATGAATCTATTCCAACAACGGACATCAAACTCATGATTGAATCCACCATGGAATCACCCCTGTTGGTGAGACAGGATTCTCTGTTGTTACACAATATTGGTAGAAATACTTTTTCTAGTATTATTGATCATCTTCACATGGTAGGAGGCAGGCGCACAAACATGCACGAACACACACACACATGAACCTACATATGAAAGATAAAGCAGATTTCTGTTGTAATACTTCTCTTTTTAAAATATTTATTTTTTTGAAAGGCAGAGTTATAGAGATGCAGAGGCAGAGACAGAGATAGGTCTTCTATTTGCTGGTTCACTCCTCAAATGGCCGCAACAGATCCTGGGCTGATCCGAGACCAGGAGCCAGGAACTTCTTCCGGGTCTCCATGCGGGTGCAGGGGCCCAAGGATTTGGGCCATCTTGTACTGCTTTCCCAGGCCATAGCAGAGGGCTGGATCGGAAGAGCAGCAGCTGGGACTCAAACTGGTGCCCATATGGGAGTCTGGCACTGCAGGCAGTGGCTTTACTAGCTATGCCACAGTGTTGGCCCCTGCCATAATATTGTAAAAGATAGAAGTATGCTTTCCACATCATGACAGCTGAGGGAAAATGTGGAGGAGGGTAAGGAAGATCTGAAGGTCAGGAATGTTTGTGTGAGTAGTTATGACAAACCATGTCACACTCAGGTCAAAGAAGTGCATGATACCTGGCAAAAATAAGGTGCCACAGGTGCTGTTTCCTATCTCCATGTTTTTTTACTGAACGAATATATTTTTCAGCACCAACCTCGTATATTACCTGACATTATAAAGGCTCAAACCTTAAAACTTTAGTGATATTCAAAAATCCAAAGATTGCATGGTTATACTTCACAAGTCTCTAACTAGCAATATTTTACATAGATTTCTGATAGCTAGGACATAAATCATGATTAACTTAAACACATGATTATCTATAAAGTACCACCACCTTACTCTGTCAAAAAGAGGCCCTGCTTTGTATTTTTTCATGCACTCAAGTGTCCAAAAGAGCTGACAATCTTGCTGTATAGATATGAAGTGCCACAAAATTCAGTAAAGCTAAGACAGGCTGACCTTCAGAAGCAAGATAGATCCCAGAACTCAATGAAAGATCTCAGAATCCTCAGTTGAGCATTATTCCTTATATCTCACACATTCCAATACTCTTATGCACATTTATTTAATAATCTTTACTGTATAACCTTGGCTTTGATCTTAGTCGCATCATCAGTTGGTCACTTACCTCTTCTGTTTACCATTTCAAAAGATATGTTTAGGGGCTGGCGCTGTGGTAGAAGTTAAGCCACCACCTGCGATGCTGGCATCCCATATAGGGGCCAGTTCAAGCCCTAGCTGCTCTACTCCCAATCCAGTCCCCTGCTAATGCACCTAAGAGCATCAGAGGATGACCCAAATCCTTGGGCCCCTGGACCCACATGGGAGACCCATCAGAAGCTCCTGGCTTCAGTCTGGTCCAACTCCAGCCACTTGTGGCCATTTTGGGGGTAACACGAGAAGATGGAAGATTCTCTGTGATTGTCTGTCTCTTCCTCTAATTCTTTCAAATAAAAAAAAAATTTTTTAAAGGAGATGAATGCTAAGTTCACAGGATACAGATATCCATTTTTTAAATAAAAATAAAAATGTATATTTAAACATAATACATCAGGAAATAAGACAGCTAAGTAAAAAGAATTAATTTAACAGATCTATTTAAAATTATATTATGTTAGAAGATCTTTCCAGTGCACCACCTGGAAGAATGAAATGGTATTTAATTGGAAAAACGATATAAAGCTTCTCAAAACAATAGCTCCTGATCTTTAGATATGAGCTCTTTTAAAATATGCTAAGTGATTGTCCCATCTCTCCTTAATTACCAAATTAAATTCCACAGAAGTGAGAAAGCAGAGTAGTACTATTATCACCTACTGTATTCTTTCTGGCTGCTATAAATCTGTGCATTTTTGTTTAACTCTCATACTAAAATATTCAATTTTGCCCAACATCAATGTAGTTATTTAATAGCAGGGAAGATGTAGAGTTGAATTCAAAGCTGGAACTTCCTTCATTCTACCACTTAATGATGCTTTCAGTAGTTTATTCCTAAAGAAGATTCCCTCTCCTCATCCCTTTCCAGCAACAACCTGCTATCTTGAAGTACTGCCTCAGCAATTACTCCCAAGGTATACTCCTTTCTCAGGGTGGCGACAGGGGAAGGAGGTTGCCAGTGTTGGAAAGCAGCAGCCTGTCAATCCCTGCTCAGTCTCTCAAGCATCATCAGGGTTCCAATCACACAAAGTTAAACAAGGGAAAAGCAATTGAAACAGAGAGGTTTACTATGTTACAATTCTATTTCTATGATTTCAACTAACCAAAATCACTGAAAAAGTATGTTGACATTAAATATAACAGAATTTAATAAAGAATGGCTTACTGAAACGTCTATGCTCTCCCATCCCCAGTGAGGGAGGTTGGGATCTCAACCCTGGGAGGAAGGACGAGGAGTTCCTTGAGCAATCTTCTCCCTAGGTACAATGGTAGCTCCATATGCCTACTCCATCTATATGCTTTATAGCTCTCTGCATTTTGTACACGCCAATCCCAACTTTTAATTCCTTGTTGTGATTAATCATCCTTTCTATTAATGTCACCGGTTCAAACCACTGTGTGGTTTCTCATTCTCAATTAGTTTTAGTTTAGTTTCAGTGACCTGAAACTGAAACAGCGGATTGTAAAAAGGTATGAATTTAGATGATATTGATATACTGCTAGAAGATTTCTCAGAAGCTCTAATGAATAGCAATACATGTCATAAATTTAAAAGAAAACATCACATACAGTGTCTCACACACTTACAGTAATACATGCACACACATAAAGGAACCAGACTGAAGTTCTGTGGGGTACCTATAGGTACACGAGTGCTTTAACCCAAAGCATTGTCTTCATAATTCCACCAGGTGGAATTCAGCCTATGTGTATTCATTGGGAAAGACAAATGTAATCTTTGAAAGTGGATGATTTTTCTCTTTAGTATTTTGATAAAAGAAGCCATGTAATAATGTTTTTGAACATTTTCCAGTCCTTATGTACCTAAGTGAGACAGCACCTGGTCATGAATAACCATGTCTTGCTGTAGCAGGGAGAGCAGGATTCTCAGAATGGAAAGGGAGGTCAACTCCCCCAGTGAGTACAGCAGAATCTTGGAGGGGGCCTTGCAAACATTCCCCCCTTCCAGTGATACTACTTCATATTCCCTATTTGAGAATTCCTGGTTCATAATAGTTGGGCTTTCCCATAAATGTGTATGACGTCCATGGTAAGCTGCAGACATAATTAGATTTTTGACTCTGCAGTTTCACATGGTATCATTGGGGAAAAGACCTCACAGAGGCCTCTGCTTTTAGAAATGGATGACATAAGTAATAAGTGTCAGACACTATCAGAATCTGGAGCTCTGACACACTGCAGGACAGGGCATTGGGGGAAGCTATTATTACCTTTCATGTACATTCTCCAAAATATTGTTAAGGAAATGTAATTACCAGCGAGGAGGCTCATTTATCCCAATTATTCTGGACTACCAAACAAACCCAACATGTAAACAATTTAGATAAGGATTCTAATAGTCTAGCTGTGGCAAGTGTCTGCAATTTGTTACACAGTGCAATCATGCTTAGATGGGCGGTGCTTGAAGTGTCGTGTCAGCTGAAAACACTTGGAGAAGACAACCATAAGTCAGGTTGAGTTTTAATAAGCCCCCAAACCACAAACAATGGGATTTTCATCTACTAATTACAAAGTAGAGTCCAGCAGCATTCTTATAATAAAGATTCATCTAAGTCATTAAAACAGAAAATATAGAAGAACTACAGGAAGCTTCAGAAAATAATTTTGGATTCATTACATTGGTATTTGGGTTAAACATAAAACAGTCAATTCAAGCTCAAATGATCTGAGTCACTGTGGTGTGATCAATACCGTGTTATGAGAAAGGGATACAAGTAATGCATTAGACCTCAATAAATGGCCTCAGCTGGTAGACCAAAACAGTTTAGAGTGGTTATATTTAGATTATTTACACAGGGAAATGTACAATAAAGTTCCAAAAGTATAATTGAATTTTCAAAAGCTACAGCCCACGTATCCATATCCTAAAGTCACACTTAAGATATTTTCTAGAGAAACTGGAATTCACCCAAAAGAGTAAACTGAGTCTCTGACAGGCAGAGTGGACAGTGAAAGAGAGAGACAAAGAGAAAGGTCTTCCTTTTTCATTGGTTCACCCCCAAATGGCTGCTATGGCCGGCGCACCGTGCTGATCCAAAGCCAGGAGACAAGTGCTTCTCCTGGTCTCCCATGCGGGTGCAGGGCCCAGGGATCTGGGCCATCCTCCACTGCACTCCTGGGCCACAGCAGAGAGATGGACTGGAAGAGGAGCAACTGGGACAGAATCTGGCGCCCCGACCGGGACTAGAACCCGGGGTGCTGGTGCCGCAGGAGGAGGATTAGCCTAGTGAGCCGCGGCGCCGGCCATCTGATATATTTTTATCAATGGAGTATTTGCAGATAGTATGAGATTCATGGGAAGAGCCATTGTTTGGAGAAGCTCTTTCCTTATGAAATGGAATGGGTCATTCCTGCAAATTGGGATCAGTGGAAAGAGAAACTTCTAACTTGCTTATTTCATGCAAAATTTGGCTACCTTCATTCATTACCTTAACTTGTATTTGCTGAGTATCTTCGGTGTTGTAAACACCAAGTTAAATACTAAAGAATTTCATAGTGAGATAATGCCCTTTTCCTCAAGAAGCCCACCAGCGAACAGACAAGACAGACGGGTAAATGAAGAATTAGGTTGGGTAAGCACCATCATAGGCACAACTACAGAGTGCTGTGGGAGTGCAGACACAAAGATGACACTGGCACTGTGTTGAATTCAGCTGGACTCAGCTTGTGAGAGCCAATTGCTAAATTTTCAGCAATTTTGTAAGGCAGCCTCTGAACACAGTGATTATTATAAAGTAGACAAAGTTATGATTAAACAAATCAGACTTAAAACAAAGGCTATGAATACCATCCAATTCTAATTTTTTGTTGTCTTATACTATTATCTATGCACTTGACATTATTTAGTTGGACCCTATCTGTATGGTCTGCTACTATGCATGTATTGTCAACTCCATGTTCATTGGCATCATTTTGGTAGCTTTGCTTGGATGGCACTATGTATACCAGGGAATATAGCAAAAACACCACAACATTTTCTTGGTTTTGACTTTCTGCAGAGAGTCTGCTGCTAAACACGCATTTACATACCACTAAGAATATCTGTCTAACCTAGTCCCTTGCTGATCATGGTCAGGGAAAGTCCTTTGAAAGAAGAGAAAGAAAAGTAAATGAATTATCAAAGAATGAGGACTAGCCTGGATAAGTAAAAGTCTGAACCAGAAATGCTAGTGAAGTTATCCTAGCTTCTCTCACCTCCTCCAAATCTAAGTCACTGCCTGTCATAGTCATGAAAGTCACATATATTCTATCATTCTCGGAGCCCCTATGCAGCTACATTTTTCAGCCTCCTTGACTTAGGATTGACCAGGTGACTTGAATTTGCAAAGGGAATCTGAACAGAAATTAAATCAGTTGCTTCCAGGGTGAAGGTTTTAGAGTGTGCGATTTGCTGTGTTCATCTCCTAATGTGGAGACTCTGGAAGCATTCAGCCTAGGGCTCCAAATGACACTAATGAGCAGTTTCTTGTTAATTCCTACTTTGATTGGCCATGCATCCTGAGCAAGTAATAAACTTGTTTCAAACCACTAAAATAGTTGGGGGTGATTCTGTTATTCCAGCTTTATCCAATCCATATTATTTCAAGCTCCTATTAATCTCTTACTGTAAACACCATACAATACCCACCTAACTTCCTGTCCCACTGCAAGTCTCAGAATTCTTCAATCTTCAACAGTGAATGAATCAAATGCTCTTCTACTTAACATCTTTAAATTGCCCCCAACACAAATGGGATGAATCTAAACAAGTTAGAATTGCATTTTCAAAGTTCTTAATGCTCCGGCCCCTAATATTTATGTTCGAATAACACTGAAGATTGAGTTTCCAAGATAGATCAGCTGGTATCCAAACTCTCAGATGAGGGTAGAAATTGTGAAGCAGCAGCTGAACCACCCCTCAGGATGCCTGCCGCCCAGACTTTCGTACCTGATTTGCTCATGGCTGCTCTTCTTCTGATACAGCTTCCTGTAAATGTGCATCATGGACAGCAGCAATGAGAGCTCAAGTACTCTGGTCCCTGCCATCCATGTCTAAGATCTGGATCGGATTCCAGCTCCTGACTTTAATCTTGCCCAGAACTGGCCATCACAGGCATTTGGTGATGGGGGTGGGGGGTACTGAATGGGTGTGCTCACCCATATAGTGCTCTGCTTTTCAAAAAAAAAAAAAATTAAAGGAACACTCAGATGCTGGAGCTTTATGTTTTCCAATTCTTCCTTTTAACGAACTCAAGCTCATTATCAAGCACCAATTATGTTACTTCATAAATGAGCCTCCAGGAAAATCAGCTACTTTTTCCTTTTTCTAGACATTTTCAATGGCACTACAATCACATTTCTGACAGCAGTGATCTTAGGACACTATAAACACTTCCATGTATTTCTCTAGCTAGGCATAACATTCTGCTATCTATTTTTGTGCGCTCTCAACTTGACACATAGGGTTCATTAAAAGCTCAGATGCAACATATCAAGTAATCATTAATTCTAAACAGGATCAGCTAGGGAAGTGTGGGGAGCAACTCGGACTAGACTAAGTTACTGGAATTAAGACTTATTCTATGCATCTGCTCTCCCACAATATGGCGCTGGGAGAGGAGTAAACAGCTTCTACACAGCCGCCTCCAGTTCGACCAATAAACTGCAGGACCTGCTCCTGATTGCAGGAGAGCAGCGTGCTCGGCGTGTGGATAACAGAGTTGGGATTGGTGGAAGAGGACTATAAAGGAGGAGAGAGACAACATGCACCAGGAACATCTAAAGGGAACATCCGGATAACATCTGAGTAGCCCCCGAGAGAGCCGGCTGGCGGTGTGCCACTCCCCCGCGGAAGTGGGGAAAGTGGCAGGGGGAACCGCCCTTCCACGGAGGTGGAAGGATCGGCAGCAAACCCGGGGAGGGCCGAGCAGACAAAAGAACAGCGCAGGGTCTAGTGTCGTTCCTCCACGAAGAGGGGGAGCGACAGGGAAGAATTTTCCCCTTGGTTTTCTGGACTTTAACATTGTATCTTATATTCCTGCCAGAGCTGTAAAATAAAGTTCTAATCATATACTCCCATCCTTTCAATTGAGACATAAACACCAATGCTACAGATGCCTGGTGATCTACTGCCTACTCAATGACCAAGTCAGAAAATAAACCAAGGTCTCAATCCCCACAGGAATTGTCACTTCCCTGTCCTGAGTGTCCTATTGTGTATATAAAGTTATCCAACATGGACCAATTTAAAGTTCTTATTATTGCTGGGGCTGGCACTGTGGTATAACAGGTAAAGCCATCACCTGCAGTGCTGGCATCCAATATGGGCACCAGTTTGAAATCTGGATGCTCCACTTCCAGTCCAGCTCTCTGCTATGGCCTGGGAAAGCAAAAGATGGCCCAAGTCCTTGGGCCCCTGCACCCACACCAGGGACCCAGAAGAAGCTTCTGGCACCTGCCTTCGGATTGGCACAGCTCCAGCCATTGTGCCCAATTGGGGAGTGAACCAGCAGATGGAAGGCCTGTCTTCTCTGTGTAACTCTTTCAAATAAATAAATCTTTAAAAACAAAGTTCACATTATTACCTTTCATGCCAAACTATACCAGAGAAAAAATTATTATTTTACTACTATTTTTCTTTTTCAAGAAACAAATGAATTTATTTTTATTTTAAAAACAGATGGACAAATAGGTCTTCCATCTATGGGTTCACTTCCTAGATGTTCACAACAGTCAAGATTGGGCCAGGCCAAAGCCAAGAGTAAGGAACTCAACCTGAATCTCCCATATAGGACCCAAGTATGTGAACCACCATCAGCTTCTTCCCAGGGTGTACTTTATGACAAAGTTGTAATCAGAGCCAGCACTCAAACCCTAGCATTCCAATATGGGATGTGGGCATCCCAAGGGCCATTTTAACCACTGCACCAAATGCTCATCCTTTTCCCTAATAATTTGTATCTATTTTCATAGGCCATTTTGAAAAATTATTTTACCTTTTTTTCTTCAGTGTGCATAAAGTTTATTGGAAATCACTGTTATTTCTGCATTGCCAAATATAATTCTTGAAGTAGACATCCCACAAAAAAAGTAAAATAGTTTAAGTTTCAAAAATTTCAAAATGAAAGAAATGAGAAAAGTCTCCCAGTACAAGCTTGCCGCTGACAGGTTATTTATAAATGAGATTCTGAATTTCAACACTGTGTAATAAAGAGCACACAGCTACAAAGTGGCCATCACAGGAATACGCTCAGAATTCTCACCTCTCAGACCAGAGTTCTTCTTCCTACAGAGTTCATTTTTATTTTATTGTTATTCCTGGCCACTGTGGCCTTACAGCTTGGGGCCCAAGAGTATTCTGAAGCTAAATGGTAAGAGGGATAAACTGCTATCTGCTTTGAATTTAAATACAAATAATAGGAATAAAATGAAGAAAAAAGCTTTGTAAAGTCTAAAACCTAACCCACTCTAGCTAAGCTGTGCCAGACATGAAAAGCAAATACACATAGGACATAAAAGAGTGGTTTTGCACCCAGAGATCTGGTTTAGTCAGAATGTAATTTGTGCCAATCCAGGTTGCCTGTAAGGGTAAGCATCTGGGTGCTGAGAAAGGGCTTACAAATTTGACAGTTTAAATTGGGTCTGTGGCTTTGTAACAAATATATTTAATCCTTGTCCCCACTTTCAGGTTCTGAGATCTTAAGGGTTTATACAACTTGTTTTCTAATGTATGTTACTGCTACTAATGTATGTTATCAATTTATGTTACTGTCACTTCCTCAGAAGATAAATTAAAATATTCAGTTGCATTCACAGATCTAAAGAACTTTATATTCAACTATGTAATTTTTTCAAGAATTTTGTTTGATATGTATAGTGTTACAATGTGTAAAACTTTAGTTGTTTGTTTTCTCCTGTAAATTTTACTTTTCTTGCTTATATAGTTTCAATTTTTGTCATGACATTTACTTTTCATTGTCTCGTAATGCCAAAAGTTAAAAAATACTTTTCTGAGGGCACTTTTCCCAAAGATCATCAGGATGACAGCTGTTATCAAAAAAGCTGTAAATATTTGGAATAATAAATATTACCACTGAGCATAAATAGCCTAAAACCCAAGTTAATAAAATATTTTTTAAAGGCATAACATTAAATAAGTCAGCCACAGAAAGACAAATATTGCAAATTCTCAGTAATGTGAGAGCTAAGAAATCTGACTTCAAATGTAGTAAGTAGAAAAAGGATACTAGAAGCTAGGAAGGGCAGGGAAGGGGTAGGAACAGGTGGGACAACAGTACCAAAATACAGCTGTGAACAAGGAAAAGGCCTAGTGTTTTAGAGCAGAGTGAAGATGGTTTACAACAATTCATCAAAATAGAAGAGAGGAGATGGAAGGTTCCCAAAGAAAGTAATGATAAATGTTTAAGGAGATGGAAATGCTAACTACTCGAATTTGATCATTACACATTGTATAAATGCACTGAATTGTCATGCTGTATAACATAAATATGTCCAATTATTATGTGACAATTAAAATTAAAGACTCGGAGAATAGACCTTTAGCCTAGTGGTTAAGACGTCAGTGTCCATTTCAAACTGATTAGATTTGATTCATGGCTCCAGCTTCCTGCTAATGCAGACTCTGTGGCAACAGTGATGTCTCAACTAATCGGGTGCCTGCCACCCATATAGGAGACCTGAATACAGTTCCTGGAGCTCCAGCCTCAGTCCTGGCCATCAAGGGCATTTGAGTATTTGGGAAATAAACAATCAGATAAGAATGAACGTCTGTCTGTTGTCTCTCTCTCCTTCTCACGATAATTTTTAAAGCTTTAAAATTCAAATCATACAAATGTATTCAACTTTAAAAGGCACAAAATATTAATAATAAATAGATGAGAGGAGGAGAATACGCCATTACTTGAAATCTGTCATTTTTCCTTCTAGATTCTACTTGTTAAGATGTTCACTCAGATGAAACACATGAGACAGAGGAATGCATATTTTCTATATTTAATGGAACAATCTGAGCATCCACTCAAGGTAACTGGAGGAGAGATTAGAATCAAAGTCTGCACTTAGTTACATGTTAGAAATAAATGGAAAGCTCTCCATTTAATAATCTAAACCAAAACAAAAATAATTTCAGTCTTCTAAAAAGTAGACAGAATCTTTAGCTCCTTAAAAATTTTAAAAAATCACATTATATGAATTTAAGAGCATTATTCTGGGGCCGGTGCTGTGGCGTAATGGGTAAAGTCACTGCCTGAAGTACCGGCATCCCATATGGACGCCGGTTCAAGTCCCAGCTGCTCCACTTCCAATCCAGCTCTCTGCTATGGCCTGGGAAAGTAGCAGATGGCCCAAGTCCTTTGGCACCTGCACCTGCCTGGGAGACCTGGAGGAAGCTCCTGGCTCCTGGCTCCAGGGCGCAGCTCTGGCTGTTGCAGCCAATAGGGGAGTGAACCAGTGGATAGAAGACCTCTCTCTCTCCGGAGGCCTCTTCTTCTGTGTAACTTTGACTTTCAAGTAAGTAAGTAAGTAAATAAATAAGTCTTTTTTAAAGACATTACTCTGAGTGTGTACTGCATTAATGTCTTAGCAATTAAGAATCTTTTTTATCCTTACATGTTACCCTGATTTTCACATTATCTCTGGCCAAATTGATGTAAGCATTTATGACATCTCTAATTTTAATTCCTCTCACTCCATTCTTTATGTCTTGTTACATGCAATACACCTGCCATGACACTTCTCCAAATATCAGGGTCTACCCTAAAGTGTACTCACTCCCCATCAATTTCTTTTTTCATTTAAAAATTTTATTTATATAAGCTGAGCAAATTTTATGTATTTCATATATACAGATTTAAGAAAATAATAACTCTTCCTACCCTATCCTCCATTTCCTGTCAATTTCAAGTGGCATGTATCACCTCCCTTGCATACTGTCCGTGTTAGTCTATACTCAACTCCTTTACATATGTGGATATATACTGTGATCCATCTCTAAATAAAAAGGGAAGGATGGAAGAGTTTGGAAAATGGAAGTACTATGTTATCTTGTTCAATAACGTTATGAAAAGGCACAGACACCTTGATTCAGCATTGATTAAAATGCAAGTGAAGTCACAGGCCACACATTTCAGTAAGAAAAGAGAGGAATGGCAATGACAACAGCTACTGTAGAAAATACCAAGTGCTAGATGAGCCACTACACATCGCTAAGGAAAGGAAGAGTAAAAAATACACAGATTTATCACAAAATTTGTTAAACCTGCTCATCGCAAAAAGTTCAATCTTTTTGTCAGTTTTCTAAACTGGAAACAGAGCTTCCCCACAATATTCACAAGTTTAGCTACTTTTCAGTAACTGTTGATACCAACACTAAGACCACACATCTTTTTAAAGGAAGATGAAATAAAACTAATGTTTGCTTTAAAGAAGTGTGCCAATTCACTTTAGATTATAAACTGCAGGGCGGGAACTGCGGTGTAGCCAGTAAAGCTGATGCCTATTATGCCAGCATCACACATGGACACTGGTTCATGTCCTGCCTGCTCCAATTCCATTCCAACTCCTGACTCATGGCCTGGGAAAAGCAGAGGACAGCCAAGGTATCTGGACCCCTGCCACCCATATGGAAGACCTGGATGAAACTCCTGGCTCCTGGTTTTGGCCTGGCCCAGCCCTAGCCAATGCAGTCTTGTGGGAGGTGAACTAGAGATCAAAGATCTCACTATCTCTTTCTCTAATTCTGACTTTCAAATAAGCTGTTAAATACACACACACACACATAGCATTTATCATTTTTCTTCTCAACTTGCACTATGCTTTGCTAATGATGTCGATCACAAGCTAATTAATATTCTGCACAGATAAAACGTGCATTCTTTTAACATTTTCAGTAAGATGGAACTATAGTGCTTGTCTCTAAAATGACATTTTAAATATAATTTATATTAAGAAAATGTATATAACCCCATTTAAAGTACAATGGAGGGCCAGCCTTGTGGAACAGTGGGTTAAGCTGCTGCCTGCAATGCCAGCCTCCTCTATGGGCTGTTCATGTCCTGGTTACCCCATTTCCAATCAAATTCCCTGTTAATGCCCTGGGAAAGCAGCAGCAGATGGTCCAAGTCCTTGGGGTCCTTGTACTCACATTGGAGACCCAGATGGAGTTCCTGGCTCCTCACTTCATGGTGGCCTAGCCCCAACCATGGCAATTTGGAGTGAACCAAGGGATGGAAGATTTCTTTTTTTCTCTCTGCCTTCCAAATAAATGAATGAATCTTTTAAAAAATAAAGCAAAGAGGCTGACACTGAGGCATAGTAGGCTAAGCTTCTGCCTGCAGCACCAGCATCCCACATGGGTACCGGTTTGTGTCCCAGCTGCTCCTCTTCCTATCCAGCTTTCTGCTATGGCAGTAGAAGATGGGCCAAGCGCTTGGGCCCCTGTACCAGCATGGGAGAACCAAAAGAAGCTCCTGGCTCCAGATTGGCCCAGCTCTGACCGTTGCAGCTGTTTGGGGAGTGAAGCAGCAGATAGAAGACCTTTCTCTCTGTCTCTCCTTTTCTCTATCTGTAACTCTACCTCTCAAATAAATAAAATTTTTAAAATAAAGCAAAATATGAATCCTGAAAGCTATTTTCAAGGTTTAAAAATTAAATGTTTCAAAAGGAAAACTTTTTCTAGCTTACAGCTCTTAGATTGCTTAACTTTTTTTTAAAATAATTTAGATATATTTACTGACAGAAGGTTGAAAAAAGACTGCTTTTTAAAGAAATATCTGGAAAAATTTACTTACAAAAAGCATATGATAGTTTATAATTATTTCAAATGAATCTGTGCCATACAGGAATGATTATTTTCACAAAATAAATAAATTACAGCATCATAGAAAACTCCTTCTGCTACTCAAACCATTATGATATGGGGAAAATTATGCTTGTTAAAATACATTTGTGTCCAAAAATATTTTCCTGGTTGTTTTGAATAGCTTTTTTGAAGTAGATCCTTTATGTCACAGCCAATTTTCTGTTTCTCTCATTAAAATCTAACTGCTATTATGTGAAAGGAAAAAAAACTGAATAAACAAAACGCTTAAACAAAAGTATCCAATGGCTGATTCACAGAAAAACCAAAAATGGTATCTACAAGGAAGCAGGGATTTCTGATTTAATTTGCTTTCATTTTTATTCAATCATTAAAGGAATTGGTTTTAATCTCTTCATAGGAGCTTAGCCCAGAAGTATTCCAAAAACATAAATGACATTCCATGCACTTGAATAACCAGCCAAACAAATTTTCAACCACTCAATATATACAAACATATATGTAGATAAGGGGTCTTCTTCAAAATGTTTATGAAAATGTATGTTGTGAAAAACTGTAGATGTTTTTCAAAAAAATTTTTACCAAATAACTTCTTTGAAATTCTCCTTTCCCAGAAACCTTTTGATGTCCCCTCCTATATATATTCACATATACATATTTACTATGCACACTAAGTATATAAACTCATTATATTTTAGAGAGATACTTAAAGTACCTGAAAAAGTTGTATTTCACAGACTTTGCTTCCTCCTACCTCCCTTTCTCTTTGTCCTTCTTCCTTTCTTTCCTACCATCTTCATTCCCTTTATTTTTCTATTTCTTTTCTCATTCAACAAATATTTATTAATCAAAATCCAAGTTCTAAGAGCTATTACATACAATGAGGTTCAATAGCAAATAATTAGAGAAGGAGCGCTTCATGTACTGGAAGAGAATCATTCAAAGAAGAAAAATGAAAGGATTTTAAATCAGATGAGCCTACATTCAAATCATGATGGCATCACTTTTGTGCCTTTGGGAAACTAACTTCACCAAGCTTGCATTTGCTCAAAAGGAAATCAAGGATAATTTTAATCTCATCATACATCTTGAAAATTAAATAAAAAATGCAGATATTCTAATAGAGAATCTGGCATATAGTAAACATCCAATATATGTTACATATCTGTGCTCCTCACACAGACTTAAATAGCAAGTTGCAGTTAAATTGAAGTTTCAATGTTAAGAGTTTATGAAGTCGGCTGGCGCCGCGGCTCACTAGGCTAGTCCTCTTCCTGCGGTGCTGGCACCCTGGGTTCTAGTCCCGGTTGTGGTGCCGGATTCTATCCCGGTTGCTCCTCTTCCAGTCTAGCTCTCTGCTGTGGCCTAGGAAGGCAGTGGAGGATGGCCCACGTGCTTGGGGCCTGTACCCGCATGGGAGACCAGGAAGAAGCACCTGGCTCGGCGCAGTGTGCTGGCCTTGGTAGCCATTTGGGGGGTGAACCAACCGAAGAAAGACCTTTCTCTCTAATTCTGCCTGTCAAAAACAAAAAAGAGTTTAAAAGTCAAGACAATAATAATCTCACCTTGCTCTAAAATATAAGTTTTGCTTAGAAGATGTGTTAAAAAAACAAACTGGTAGAAAAATATGTAGCTGTTATCAGAAAGAAAGATAAAAATGGACAATGACTCAGGGATTCCGAGGTGCAGCATGGAAACACGTCTTCCCATGGTGGGCGTCAGGACAGTAGATAAGAATGTAACTGCTACATCCTTTCGTGTCCAGACAAGTGGTCTCATTTTGTAATGCTGATTTGTAACATTTCCTATCCATATCTTACTTTTTTCTGCTTTTGTGTAGTAGGTGTTTATAGACAGGGCAATTAGGCCTCTAGCCATGGCTAGAAATGCTCCATATTTCCATGAAATAAGCTGTCATATGAAGAGACAGGTGAGCTAGAGGGGAAGTAGATCTGCTGGATACTCAAAATGATGGGAACCAGTTACAGAATGGAAGCTCTCGCCAGGAAACAGCTGGGCTTCCAGAGGCAAAATGCCCAATACAGAACTCTAAGCCATGGCTCACTTCCAACTCATCTACTGAAAAAGTCTTCATCACTGGGAAGGGCTGGATGATTCTTAATATTTGCAAACAGTGGGCTCCACTGGAACCCAGAATGATCTAGACATGAAGCCTTGACACTGCATACTACAGAATTCCAAAAAGTCTGTCTGCACTAGTCTTAGTTTTAACTCAATGATTTTATAAAAACAATAAATAAAAGACAGTTGCAGGCTTATGGTTACAAGTAGAGTACTTTCAAAAATGAGGCATTAAAGTATAAAATAAACTCCTGACCGTTGATAGCAATGCAATTCCAAGGTATGTTAGAGAAAATTAGCATCTCTTCTTCATAAATGAGAAACTCAAGTTTTATACTGAAATGGTATTATTCTACCTAATGAAAAGGGCATTCAATGAAAGATTGTTTTGTTGTGGTGTGAAAAATGACAGTTGCAATGTGTTTTTATTTTCCAATCAAGCACTGCACAGAGAGGGTACAAAGACTGAGGAGCCATCCAATTGAGATAGTTTGCTGTCTCACTTGGGTGCTCCAAGTAGTCAGGGTTTACTGCTCCCATGAATTAAAAAGAATTAACTCCATGCAGATGATTCCAAATTTTAGAGTAGTCTTGATGGTGACTTACTTCCTTATATGGAATTTTTTTCATTTAAGAATTAGACACACACATAGCACTCCCATCTGCTGGTTCATTCTCCAGATGCTCAAAACAACCAGGCCTGGATCAGGACAAAGCAAAGAACTCAAGACTCGATCCATGCCTCCCACATAGATGGTAGGGACCCAAGTACTTGAGTCATCAACAGCTGGCAATCAGAAGATAGCTAGAACGAGGGACCTCTGTTGGGAATTAAATCTAGCCACTCTGGTATGAGATTCAGATATCTTTGGGAAAGTATATGACATTGGATTTTCTACTCTGATTAAGGGAGAAGACAAGTAGATGAGAACCTTCAATGTATCTTTCCATCACATTTCTCACTGGAAAGTAGGAAGGGGGCCTTCTACATCATCTTCCTCAGTCTCTTGTGAGTCTTGTAAATATGAATCAGCTTCTCAAGGTGATGTTATCTACAACACTGAAGGAGTGGAATTACTAAGACATGCTGGGTCTAAGTACAGGCAGACATACTGCTAAACATGCCATACTAAGGATGTGAATTTGTAAATTAGTTCTCAAAATACTGGGGAAGACACGAAGAAGTGTTTGCCCCATCCCCCAAGGGGTTTTCACAACAGAGGAGGGGATAAGTGATATACATGTAAGGAGAGGGGGATAATTTTGAGACATCACTGGAGACTGAGACTTACAAGTCCCATCAACGTATTTAGAGCAGAAACACATATCTACAGTAAACAAGTTCCAAGACTATCTTAGTAGTGAGATATGTAAGTGCCGTTAGCATACTTAGGCTTTCTATTATAAGCAGGTGTTTTCCTTTATAATAAAGCTATTTTAAGTGTTTTCTTTAGAGTCTAATTGCTTACCATGGGTTGCAGCAGTGGAAAATTCATAGTAAGAGATATAATCAGTGGCCACCATAAAACACACTCAATAATCAGTTTCCTATTGTGGACAGAACAAATTACTTCAAACTCGATAGATGGAAACAGCTTAAATTTATTATCTTGCAGGTCTGGAAGTCAGACTTCAAAAATGGATCTCACTGAGAAAAAATCCAGGTGCTGGTGAGACTGTTCCTTCTGGGGTCCTGGGGAAGAGGCTGCTTCGCATCCCTCTCCAGCTCCTGGGGGCCTACTGCACTCCTGGGCTCAGCTTTCTCAAAATCAACACCAACCAGTGCAGTCTTTCTCACACTACATCAATCTAACATTGTGAGTTCACCCAGATAATCCATGAAAATATCCCAATCCTGGGATTAACTTAATCACATCTTCCATGTATTTTTGCCACAGACACAAATTCACAGGTTCCAGAGATTATGACAGGGGTATCGATGACAGATTATTGTATGTGCCCAATAAATTAAGAAATAACCTCATTCCTTGGCACATTTTTTTTTTTCAGCTTTACAACTTTAATCAGTTCTCATCCACATTGACTGCAGATTTTTTTTTTAATTTTTTTTTTTTTTTTTTTTTTTTGATAGGCAGAGTGGACAGTGAGAGAGAGAGACAGAGAGAGAAAGGTCTTCCTTTGCCGTTGGTTCACCCTCCAATGGCCGCCGCTGCAGCCGGCGCACCGCGCTGATCCGATGGCAGGAGCCAGGATCCAGGTGCTTTTCCTGGTCTCCCATGGGGTGCAGGGCCCAAGCACCTGGGCCATCCTCCACTGCACTCCCTGGCCATAGCAGAGAGCTGGCCTGGAAGAGGGGCAACCGGGACAGAATTCGGTGCCCCGACCGGGACTAGAACCCGGTGTGCCGGCGCCGCAAGGTGGAGGATTAGCCTATTGAGCCACGGCGCCGGCTCAACTGCAGATTTTTGAAAGTGGTGACAGGTACGTAGGTAACCAAAGTGTAGAGCTTGTTTGGGGAATCTTCATCCTCATTACGTTTTCTGGACAACCTCACACGGATGCGGTATGGGGCATTCCTTATTCCTTTGGCCCAGACGGCTTTGTTGAGCCTGGTGTCAATGCGCACATCTGGAGTTCCCATCTCTTTCATGGCAAATTTCCGGATCTCTTTGAGTGCCCGAGGGGCACGCTTCTGGAAGCCCACACCACGGATGTGCTTGTGAATGTTGATGGTATGCTCGTGGGTCACCACCTCGTTGATGGCAGAACGGCCCTTCTCACCGCCCTTCTTCGCGGGAGCCATCTTGGAGGGCCCAAGCTGGAAAGCCACATCTCTTTTAAGAGTAGATGCATGCACATCCCCAATTTTCTCCTCAATCTCTCTTTTAAATAAAGAGTATAATTTTATTGGCACAGTCTAAGAAAATAAGCAACGTCAAATCTGTACTTCACTAGCAGGATGACAAGAGAGCAGATGCAGACGTGCAAAAAAGTACAGAGCTTTGTTTTTACTACAGCAGAATTCTGAATGAGAACTAATGCCCTTCATCCACAGCTAATGGCTCACTTGAAATGTGAGAAAAACAGCCATAGGTATTCAGGTAATAAAGTTTGGCTTTGAACAGAAAATCTAGATGACAGCTTTCTTAACAATACAGTACTGGAGAATTCTATTAGTCAGTCCTCAACTTCAACTGCTATTAATCACACAACTATAAGCTTAAGGACTTTTTAATTTTTATTTATTTGAATGGCAGAGTTACAGAGAGAAAAAAAGAGAGAAAAAGGTATCTTCCATCCACTGGCTCATACCCCAAATGGCTGCAATGGCCAAGGCTGGGCCAGACCAAAGCCAGGAGCTTTTCCCGGTTCTCCCACATGGGCACTGGAGTCCAAGGACTTGGTCCATCTTCTGCTGCTTTCCTGGAAACATTAGTAGGGAGCTGGATTGGAAGTGGAGCAGCCAGGACTCGTTTACTGGTGCCTTTATGGGATTCCAGTGCCACAGGCAGCAGCTTTACCTGCTAAGCCACAGCACTGGCCCCAGGGCTGACCTTTTTAATAAACATATTACAAAAATCTGCTCATATTGAAGTTGATGGTATCACCTAGTAAAACTAATGGTGACCATTCTTCCTCTGCCTTGGTCCCTTGATGAACACCTGCTCATCTTCCAAACCTCAGAGCAGGATCGCTTCCCTCACGGAGTCCTTTCTGGCTTAACAACTTGCCTTAACCCAGATATCACTGGCTCTTTATCTTCTTTGGGATTTGCTGCACAGAATTCCATGGCAGCATCTGTGACTTCCTTCTTTGTGTGTCTGCTTTCCCACACTCACCGATTAATTCTCAGATAATGATCTGTTTGATCAGTTTTCACAAGTCCTAAACATAACCAGGATGACAGTCCACAATCTGATAAGGCTAGCACATTTGCTAAAACAATGTCAAAAAAAAAAAAAAAACAAACAAAAACAAAAAACAAACAAACAAACAAAAAAACAATGAGATGCATCCATGAACAGCTGCTTCCCCAGTCTTCCCTTGGAATTCTCATTCCAGCAACTGAAGGGGCAATTCCTGAGCTAATGTCTATTCTCTTGGTCAGTTCCAAGTTCAGCAAACCAACCATGTTTCCCAGACTTCAGGGAAGGGCCTGGCTTTTAACAGTACACAGTAACTACTGGTTGACTCGATTTGTCTTATGAAAATACATCGTATGTCAGTAAATTTTTCTAATAAAAATTTAAAAGGCAATATATCCTCCACTTCAGAGAAGGACATCCAAATATTTATTTAAAGTAATTTTCAAGCTATTTTCTGTAATTTCACAGTGACCTAAAGTGGTTCAATTCAGGAAAGATTCCAGAATCTTTAGATAATTTTATCTCAAAACTGAAGGCAGTTTTCTATTTTGAAATGAAGACAACTAGAGTATCAACAACCTCTGCCTTGCAGAGATGGCATTTTTGATTGATCTGGGAGCAACACCAATAAGCATACAGCAGTAGAAAAGAAAGCCATTCCTACACATTCTAGAAAGATCTACAAAGAAGAAACAAACTTTGGATAAAATGATCCATAAAAACAACTTTAAATATGTTAATCGGAGACTCACAAGTGAAAACAATGAAACAGAGAATAAAGGTTTGTTTCATCTTGCAAGACAACATGCCCACCCTTTGGAGTAAAATTCCCCAAGAATTTCAAAGGCCCTTAACAGATGTCCAAGAGCAGTTTCTATTCTCTCCCTGAGGTTCTCTGTGTGTATAACTAATGGTATTAATTATACTGAGGATTTTAAAAATGAGGTTATTGTTCCACTTTGATAATGTAAGTTTTCTAAATGAAGTAATAGCCACTGAAAATAATCATACTCTTCAATGAGTCACTGAAAATAAAGATGAAAGTGTGTTGGTCAAGGCATAACAGCCTCAAATTAAAGAAACCTTTACTCTATACATTTAAATTCATCCGCTTGTTGGAATCTTTGTTCTCAAACTTGGAAAATTTACATTATCCAGGTCAACATCAAAACCCAAAAAAACTAAGACTGATAACACATCCTATCTCTTAAGGGGGAAGGACTTTCTAAGTTCTGAAGTACCAGGCAAAAAGCACCAAGGAATATATGAATAATTGTGGGAAAATAGTACATTTATACATGCAAAAGGCTAAAAAAGTAAAATACGGAAAAGGCAACTAATCACTTTACAATAAAGGGAAGAAGAAAATAAGTATGTTAACACAAAAAGAGCTTGTACAAATTACTAAGCTCTAAGACCCTAATAAAGAGTTGGCAAAGGGAATTGTATTCATTTCCTAGGGCTGCTGTAACAAAATTCATGAACTGCTATTCAACCATTAAAACTACGTTTACAAAGTCTATGGAAAAGATGAAATATTTACTAGATGGCTTGGGCAACAAAGCATTGTCTCATAGTTCTGGAGGCTAGAAGTCCTAAACCAAAGTGTTAGCAGACTTTGTTTCCACCAAAGTTTCTCTTCTTGGCTTGCAAGTGAATGCCTTCTCCATGCTCCTACGGTCATCCTCAGCCTGCATGTCTGTATCCCCATTTCTCTTCGTACAGTGACACTCGTTACCTTCGGTTAAGGCTGACCCATGTGACTTCACATATCTTTGATGGAACAAGGACATAAACTAGCTCCTTGCTTGAAAGTAGGTAAAATAAGAATTTACCCCTTATCCATGCCTTCTTTCAAAAGACCACTTCAGTCTCACAACGTGTATTGCTTCCAGCCCCAACCCCAGCATTCTTTTCCAGGTTTGAAAGCAGGGGCAAAACTTGAAATATCTGTATGGAGAAACTCCCCTCCTCCTATCGCCCCTGCTTCCTTCCTTCTGGACCTTTAGGCCACCCTAAGATATAAAATGGCCAGCCCACTGAGGACTGTGCCCTCTGTCACGTGTGCCGTATGTGAGCATGCTGGCAGTTTGTCATCTACCTCTGAATTTTTTCTTCTTGAATAAATTTTGTTCTGGCTCTGAGTTCATATCTGTGTCTCCTCTCCATTCTGCTCCCTTTTCCCTTACATTCTTAATTATCTCTTTAAAGATATCTGTCTCCAAAAACTTAAGTTTTGAATTATTAGGGTTTAAGATGTCAGAATATGAACAGGGTCAGAGGGGACAATTCAGCCCAAACAAACAATTCAGGAAAGTAGTATGTGTTCCTAATGTACAAACTTTATTTTCCTACTAAGTAAAGGTATGTTAACTAAAAGTAAAATATGTTTCATTTAACAAAGTAGTAATGACTGAAATGGAATTATAATGCTGTTCCTACTTAATGCTGGTGAGGTTACAGTTCAGTGAGGACCTTGAATGCTACCAGCAAGCCATAAACTGGCAAATCATTTGGTGAAGCAAATTTCCAGTATACTAGTGCATCAAGATTATAGAAAACACTCAACTCTCAATATAGATCAATATAACCAAGAAAAGGTAATAACAATCTCAATATCAGCTTATTTGCCTGGGAGAGGGATCTTTACTAGAATACTACCCATCGCAGTATTATTTATATGAGTATCACCAAAAAAACTGGAACTCATCTAAGTGCTCACCATGGAGAAATCCTATGCTTCATGAACTGCTATTCAACCATTAAAACTATGTTTACAAAGTCTATGGAAAAGATGAAATATTTACAATTTTATTTTAAAATGAAAGCAGAGCTCTATTTAAAAGGTACATGGAAAAAAGGGGGCAGTTAATAGACTTTCAGTGACTACTTCAGTATAAAAGAACTAACCTTTTTATTTTTTCTTACTAGAATTATATACTTTAAATTTACAAAAAGCAAAATATACTAGCTCTTATCATCAAAAATCATTTTTTAACTTATTTAAAATCTTGTTTGAATGTAAAAAAAATTAGGGGCTGGTGTTGTGGGTAAAGCCACTGCCTGCAATGCCAGCATCCCATATGGGTACCGGTTCAAGACCCGGCTGCTCCATCTCCAATCCAGCTCCCTGCTAATGCACTCAAGAAAGCAGTGGAAGATGGCTCAACATCTTGGGCCCTTGCACTCATGTAGGAGACATGGAAGGAGCTCTTGGGCTCCTGACTTTGGCTTGGTCCAGTCCCAGCCCATGCAGTCATCTGGGGAATGAACCAGCAGATAGAAGATCAGAGCAGCTTTTTATTAGAACACTTTACTCTCACTCTGTCACACATTTTTTAACCAAATGTTAGTGAGTGACATCATTACTCAACACCTATTGCTAACCCCAATCCCATTCTATCACAGTCATGTAAATATAATAAAAAGAAAAATCAATGAGTCTATGAAGTCGGACATCCATATGATAATTTAACATCATTAGTTGATCAATTAATCATTAGTGTGATTGTTCCCTGCTCAGTGTGTCAATCTGCAAATATCCATTATACGTACATGGAAATCAGAGGTGTCTTTCCCAAGTTCCACAGATACCTCAACAACATGAGATATTAGATGTCTGCTGTCTTCCTCTATGACTGCAAGCAATTACATAGCAAAGTACAAATTCCAATACACAGATTCACAACTCTAAAGCACACAGAATTTTGCACCAGCAGAACTGATGAAAACGTGTATTTTACTCTGTAAAACAAAATGATTCAAAGTTCATGCATCCGCAGAGTTTGTGAGGAGCCCAAATTGTTAGGTTTGGGTAATCAACTGCCTATCAAAAACACCAGGACTCAAATCATGTTCCTTAATTTTCTGGTAAAGTGGACCAGTGCTCCAATTTTCTTACTAGAAGAGACGTAAGAAACACAGTCGTACAGATGAATAGCACCCCTCGAAGTTCACATCCACTTGGAATCTCAGCAGCTAATCTTGTTTTAAAATAGCGTCTTTGGAAACATAATTCAGGATCAAAGTGAAATTATACTGGATTAGGGTGAGCTCTAAATTGAGTGAGGGAGTCCTTATGAAACAAAGAAACATGGACACACACACCAGGAAAAGACACATAAACTTGGAGGCAGGGATTGAAGTGTTACTGCCACAAGCCAAGGAATACAAGGCGCCACTAGAAGCTGGGAGATGCAAGGGAACCATCTCCTATAGTGCCTTCAGAGATACCTTAACCCTGTCGTCATCTTGATTTCATTCTTACAGGCCCCAGAACTTTCAAAGAGCAGCTTCCATTGTTTTCATCACCGTGTTTGCGGATACAGCACAGCATGGAAGTCAGCACAGTGATTTACAAAAACAGTTAAGCCACATTTCACAAGAACTATACCATTAAGGCAGAATGATGTGGTTACAAGGCAGAGAAAGTGCTGGAATCCAAGAGCTAAGACTAGAGTTCCATTCTACAACTCTCCATGTGGCAAACCAGTGAGCTCCTCCACACTTGGATTTAGCTTACAATGGCACTTGAGAGGACTATTGAGAAGATGAAAGGAAGCAATGGAAGTCATCAGCACTTGATAGAAAGGGCTGATTTTTTGTTGTCTTTGGTAACAATTAAGATAGATATCTAGAATAAGTTGACATTTACCTTTTTAAAAATGAAAAGGAATAAGAGAGAAGTTCACACAAGTGCATGTTTTATCTTTCAATTCTCTCTTCTAGAATCATTTACTGCCTAAAAGGTAGGATTATATCCTGCAGACTTCCTTCAGATCCTGACATTAGTCATGTATCACATCAATAGGTCAATTACTATGAATGTTTCAGAAGGGGAGTAATCTGAGGTGCAGTTATTCTTAGAAATTTTGTGCCATCATTAATAATCATTTATTGTCCGTTCAGTCATCTGCACTGGAATAAAAACAAATAGATGACAATAGATGACAATGACTTATGCTTTAGCATTCTGATGTAAGAAACAAAAATGCTGACAAAAAATCCTGACACTAATGTCCACATACTAGGTTTTTACAGCTGTCTCCGACCTAGTTAAGCAGAATTTAAGATGGTTAGTATTAAAAGCAAGGAAATCAATTGCCTTTATTTAAATAATAACCATTGTACTGCATTCCTAAAAAATTCAAGACTGTAGTAACTACTAAAATTACTCAACTATTAGAGTAGAAACTCTACTGTACCATTAAGAAAATTAAATTTCTAAGTATTGCCTGTGAAAGTCTTTATGAAGTGAAAATATTACCAAGGCAAATTATTTCAAGCAGTGTTGAATCAATGTTATCTAAACACATTTTCACTGTAAAATGAAATATATGACTGGAACAGAAAGCCAGACTTCATTCCTCTGTCCTCATTCTCAGTGGAAAATCAAAGACAAATCTAAGGTCTTCCTGTTCAGACAGCCAGCCACTGATTTCTCCAAAGCCCACCTCCACGAGAAGCATTTTTCCCAGACTGCACTGTTAGTTCCTGTGATCATCACTGTCTCTGTGGTAGCTTCCCCTGACAACCGTCACTGTTCTCCAATCTTCTTACACAAATGGGAGATTCATGCGACAGGTGTCAATTCTTCACTGTTCACATCTAATAGTCCTCTTCTCACAGGATAGACATTTTGATGGGGTACAATATTTCAACACATATGGCTAAAGATAATGTGTCATGAATACACAATGGAATATTATTGAATCATAAAAAAGAACCCTGATATTTGCAGCAAATATCTAAAAATTATGTTAAGTGAAATAAGACACCGATAATCATTTTCATGAGTTTACTTTATTACTAGAAATTTAACCTAAAGAGAGTAGTGTCCTGGCTAATTTTATTTTCCTGCCACTGAAAATGAGTTTTACATTTGTTTCTCTATATATCTAAATGTCAGCTGACAAGTGTTCAGAGATTCTTATAGTTTGCTTTTAGCTAAAAAATAATTTCAAAAGTAATTCAGAAATAATAAAGCACATTTATGTTCTTAAAGTGGTCCATTATTAATAGACATTCATTTGGACTTTTCCATATAAGACTAAAGATTGCAAAGGAAAAATTTCCCTTATAATACGTGGCTATTTTAAATATTACCTATCTGGATGCACTGAATAGCAATTAAAAAAATTAAAACTGTTGAAAGATTCCAAACTGATCAAATAGAACAAGGGGTAAGGTTCTTTATTTACCTGGAAATTAGGAAAGAAATGAGAAATAAAAATCAGTGTGTTTAACTATGATGAGATAGTTGATATTGCTTTAAAGGAGGCCAAAATTTTGGGGTTTCCAATAAATATTCTGGTTCTGCAAAGGGAGACAAGCTTACAAAAATAAAAATGTGGTGCCTTCCCGAGGCTGTTTCTGAGGCGATAGAGCCATTTATAGCTTTTAATAGAGTCTAAGGCAAAATGCAATTTATTGTATCAATTCAACCGTAACATAACAAAAGATCATTACTACTCTATCAGCGATGATAGAAATTATGAGAAACTAAATTTCTAAGACCATTAGAGCTAGAACATCAATATTTCCTATTTGAAGATCATATGAATACTGATTCAAATGCAGGGTGAATATGTATCAAATAGTAACCAATTCTTTCAGTAAGCCTGTTTGATTAACTCCAGGTGTTTTTTTTTCAACCAGATAGATAGTAGGTGCTTACCTAAAAGAACTTGAGAAGTTCATTGGCTGTGTCAAAGTAAGCATTTGGATGCTGCTGTAGCTCCTCTCCAAGCCTGAAAGACCAGTAGCAAATAGACAAATTTGAGGCATCATCCCTGTGACTAGGGACCACTGTTCCTGTTGCCAGCACTATCTTGTCTTTGAGTTGCAGTTGCTCTGGGAGTATGTCCTCCTCTGAGATACCTAGTATGGGCTTGACTATATTTTCCTCAAAAAGCTTGAAGCTACAATAGGAAGTTTCCCTGAAAGCAGCTGTGTCATCTATAGACAGCAGCATTGTTTATGTCTTGAGATGTGAAAACAAGGTGAGGCTCTCTACTAACCAACTGGAGGGCAGATAGTGGAGTAAATGCTAAGGGGGAATTTAAATTGAATGAGCTACCAATGTATGGCAACCAAATACTTGATTCTGATTTTCTGTTTTCTTACTGCAAATAACCTAGGCATAATCCTTAGATACCAGAACAGTTCTCTATCTCTTGGTCAACTAACCAGTATTTACTGGTGAATGTGTAGGTCCAGCCCTTTGGCTTGCAGGATATGAAGTCTTTTTGTGTCTTCAGTTCTTTTCCAGACTTTGGTTCAGGCGTGAAATCTCAAACTTAATGCTGTTTCAACATGGTGCCTGCCATGAATCCCATGCTGTTTTATTTGATGACACCAAATAGAGGTGATTGCCTCTAAAATAACTTGAAAAACCCATCACTAAGTGTACCCAGAGACTGACTGACAAAGCTGAATGATTTATAAGGCAGTCTCTTAAGTGGATTTGCTCCTGATTGACTTAGCGAACATTTCTGCTAGGATGTCAGCTAGTGTGAAATACCTTTGTAGATCATGTACAAGTGCACTTCAAAAGGTTTATGGGAAATGGAATTAAAAGCTTATATTGGTGCAAAATTTTTTGAAAGTCATGCATCATTTTTTCACATTATACATTTTCCAAGAAGTTTTTGAAGATGCCTCATAATAAGATTCTCACTTTACTCTGCCCTGCTTTCTTGCAGATCTCAGAGACACTCAAAGATGCCAGATATTTAACTAAATTTCCAACTCAGTTTTGCTAAATTGCAACCATCTTTGAAAAACTGATAAACAGGATTAGCTTTCAAATGCCTCCAGAAAGACAAAATGCTTGGGGAAAAAGAAAAAAAGAACAAAAATAACCTCTAATTGCAGCAGCACATTTTATAGTCAATAAAGTACTTAATATGCTATGCAGCAGGGGTATTTCAACTGAGTGTCAAATAAAAATAACTGTCTGTGATAGCTCAATGCAAAGTTTCTTTTCTCAGCAAGAGATCAAGATTCTCAACTGTTTCCAGCCTGACACATTTGATGAATTGCTTGCACACAGAGGATATATGGCTTTAGTCTTGCTACAACAAAACAAAAACAATTTTGGATAGTAGGCTACTATGGAGAAGTAACACCTCATCCTAGTTGGTTTTGGATTTTTTTAAATTTTTATTTAGTAAATATAAATTTTCAAAGTACAGTTAATGGATTACAATGGCTCCCCCCCCATAATTTCCCTCCCACTCACACCCCTCCCATCTCCCGCTCCTGCTCCCATTCCATTCACATCAAGATTCATTTTCAATTATCTTTATATACAGAAGATCAATTCAGTATATATTAAGTAAAGATTTCATCAGTTTGCACCCACACAGGAACACAAAGTGTAAAATACTGCTTGAGTACTAGTTATAGCATTACTTCACATTGGACAACACATTAAGGAAAGATCCCACATGAGGAGTAAGTACACAGTGACTCCTGTTGTTGACTTAACAATTTGACACTCTTGTTTATGGTGTCGGTAATCTCCGTAGGCTCTAGTCATGAGTTGCCAAGGCTATGGAAGCCTTTTGAGTTCGTCGACTTTGATCTTATTCCAACAGGGTCAGAGTCAAAGTGGAAGTTCTCTCCTCCCTTCAGAGAAAGGTACCTCCTTCTTTGATGGCCCCGTTCTTTCCACTGGGATCTCACCCGCAGAGATCTTTCTGGAAGGAACCGAGCAGCTTGCTTTCTTCTCTACCTCCTTTGCTTCCTTTCTTCCTGATGGCTGATGCATCCTTCCCTCCCACTAATACTTCCTAAGCATATATACGTAGCACACTACAGGACTTGTTCGAGTCAGGACCTTTTCTCTATCTAGTGGAAAAAGGCACTGTACTATGAATAAAATTTTGTGGAATCTCAAAGGGGGAAGATAACAGAATTAGGGAGCTGGCCATGACAACACAGATCTGTAACAACGTGGGTCTTAAAGAAGGGACTGTGCACCATGCATAAGAAGGGTTATTTTCTACTACTTTTGCCCTGTTGTACTTGAACTTCTCTTACATGGAGTTCATTAATTTCTATGCACTTGCTTGTTGATGACTCACCAGATGTGATGTAACAATCATCCTTCCTAGGCCTCCTGAATCTCACTGCCCTACTTGCCTCTTCTATCCATATGCTCAACCCTATTGTGATTTCATATGAATTTACATGGTTCTGGGCATGGCAGTTATATTTATATACTTGAATGCATTACCTAGCAGGCACAGATACCTCTTTTTGAGATAAAAAAGAATGAATGCATTTACTTCTCTGAAAGTTTTTTGCTCTGAAAATCTCAAACACAAAATCAAATGAATATTGTAACACATCTGATGCATCCTTTTTTCTAGCTTCAATTACCATAAGTTTGCCAATCTTGTCTCATCTATTAATTTAGTTGGGGCAAACATTTAAAGCAAATATTAGATATAATGCTTAGCTCCTGCAAATTGTAAGCATGCTTTTCTAACTGATAAGAACATGTTTATAAACTCCTTGCCATTACTATAACTTGCACAGTTAGCAACAATTATTTAACGCAATTTCAAACTTAGTCCATATATTCTTTTCACATTTCCTCCCTTTCTGAAGAATTATTGCTATATGTTTGTTTGCATCAAGATGTGAGTAAAGCCCTTACATGACTTTTGACCATTATGTTTCCAAGTCCATAGGAATGTAAAATGCTTGCTATCCCTCCTTGCTATTCAGACCATTTATTTGTTCAAGAAATTGAGTGTTTTTATAAAGGCATGGCATTTGTTAGAATACAACATTACTGTAGGCTCACTGACTACTAGGAAAGGACCTTCAAGTTATAAAATATGATGTACTAGGTAGTATCCATGTAAAACTGCTCTAATAGAGATCACATGAACACCCTTGCAACTTCTGGAAATTTTAAAATATTAATTTTCTCAACACATGATATGGTCAGTAAGAATCATTGCTTTACTGCTTTGGATAATTTTATCCATTTGAAATTTTTTTATTGTTTATAGTTTCCTAAGATTAAGTTTAGTCATCACCATACAGCTGTTATCAATACCAGCTTTATTTTATGAGTCATTTATAAATAATTTAAAAACTTTACACATTAACAAATGAAAAAATGAATACTTTGTTTTCCAATAGCAGAATGTAAAACCTTTGCAGAGTCAAGATGACAGAGATGGTTTTGTCCAAGGATAGTAATAATACTATTTTCACATATCTTAGTAATTTATGTGGATGCTTTTGATCCCAGAGCCTACCCTATATATGATGTCAACACCAAGTGCTAGGAAATCATTCCTTTGACCTGCACAGAGACCTACTGCCATACTGCCTCACTTCAGAGCTGAATGATGAGCTGTCAGAAGTCCTCACAGGTGAGCAGACTCTAAGATCACACAGCAGCAGACCTGAAATGACAATCTAAGTTTCCAATAGCCTCACGCTCTTAATTTGCCACCACTCCATGCAGCTGTTATTCAATTCCTGTCTGAACATGGCTGTGGACTCAGGAGGACGGAATCACAACATAAACAAAGACCTTCCTCCCACCCCACTTTGTTTGCCTGAGTTTTGCTGGACCTCTGGTCTCTTGAAATGACTTTTCTTGCTGAAAACATAGTTCATTGCTACCCTTTCCTCACAGATTCAGTTTTTGCTTGTCTTTTTTTAAAATATATATATGTGTGTGTGTGTGTATTTTTAACTGACACAATAATTATAAATATTTATAGGATACATTGTATCAAATCATCTACACAAAGTATAATCATCAGATCAGATTAACTGGCAGGCACATCTGTCACCTCAAAACATTTATCATTTCTTTGTGTTGGAAACTTCCAAAATCATCTCTGCCAGCTATTTTGAAAGATACAAATCATTGCTGTAAAGCAGTTATTCTACTGTTAAATAGAACATTCGAAGTGATACCTCCTCTCCAACTGTACTCATTGCTGTTAACCATGCTTTCTAACATAGCCCAAAATGTAACCAAAGTCCTTGCCCAGAATCTAATGACCTAGAGAATCATTTGCAATCTCCTTAGTAATATACAAACACTAAAAGTAAAGGATGACAGCCTAAGGAAAATTCTGGTACTAACTATGCTTAAAAAAATAAACAAGTGAGAAATACCATATCCATATGTTCCTGCTAATTATTAACAATGAAAATGTTGACTTAAATTCAACATTCCATTAGATACATGTTTTCATTAAATGGATAATCTATATTTGTTAAATAAAATAAGGAAATGATGAGTTTTGGGAGATGGTTTTATTAAACCATGTGTTCCACTGGCAGCACATGGCACGTGAAAACAAGAAATGGAAAGCATGCGGCTTTAATCCTCTCCTCCTTCTGTGTCAAGGTAAGCATGTAACTTCCCAGCTCCACGACTGCTTTCTTACCTGTATGGAACGGAGATGATACCTAAGTCTCATTTAAGTACTGAAAAATTAAAATTATAAATATCTGTAATTATTTGTTGCTTTATAAAAATTAGCTTAAGACCAACCACAAAATTGTCATGAATTCATTCCCACTGATTCCCACACACACAGTCAACACACGCTGTAATAAGACCAAAAATCGCCTTAATCATCAGAGTTTATTGATTTAATAGATACTAATACTCATGGGTAAGCACTGTCCTAGGTAATTATCAAGCTGATGTTTTTGCTCTTATATGAAGGGAATTCTTACAAGAGCAACTGAGAAACTCTTTGCATTTACTTGGCTGTAAGAATCGGTCAGGGGAGGGCATCGGCCTGGCAGATAAACGTACACAGTACATGCCTCACTTTGGAGTGCGTGGGTTTTATCCCTGGCTCCGTTTCCTGATTCTAACTTCCTGATAATGAGAACTCTAAGGAGTGATGATGACTCAAGGCGATGGATTCTTATGACCCATGTTGGAGACATGCACTGAGTTCCTAGCTCCTGGGTTTAGCCCTGGCCCAGAACCAGATCCCATAAGTGTTGGACATTTGGGGAATGAACTAGCAAATAGGAGCAGCTTGCTCTTTTACTTTCTGTCTCTCAAATTTAAAAAAAAAGCTAAAAAATAGGTTGAAAGAACCAATTTCATGGTGGACCTTGTAAACATCACCCTATACTCTTTTTAACCATGTAACTTGGAGACTGAACCATGGTAGCTACCATCTCTCCCTGTGTGCTTCCCTTAAATGCTCATCTGAGGGTCATTCCATGAACTGGAAATAATTGAAAATCTGGAGAAAAACCATTATTTTAAATTGTAAATTCTACTCAATCTATAAAGGTAATAGTTCAGCAAAATGATATATCCACTCAGAAAACTTAATTCCATTAATATCTCTTCTATTTTCTTGTAGAAAAAGCATTTTTATGATCAATTGAAAAACATAATTCTATGTCTAAATAAAAATGAAGAAAATTCATTATATATTGAGTTTGTAAAGCAAAAACAAAAAATGTAAAAAAAATCCCTAAAAAATAAATATTAAAAGTTGGTGCTTCATTTAGCAAGATTACATAAATTTTTTATTATTTCTTATTTTTTTCCAAACTCACTCCAGTGGGTGTTGGGAAACTGTTACTGTTAAAGATAAACTCATTTGTACATCTTTTAATTCCTTATTCAGCAAACTAGAAATGTCCTAAAAATGCCTAAGTGGTTAAGTGAGAACAGAACAAGAAGTTATAGATTTATGCACAGCTGAACACGCATATAATAACGATGAAGCTATTTAAAAATTGAAGTTCATGGGGCGGCACTGTGGCGTAGCAGCTAAGGCCACTGCCTGCAGTGCTGGCATCCCGTATGGACGCCAGTTCAAGTCCCAGCTGCTCGATTTCTGATCCAGCTCTCTGCTATTGTCTGGCAAAGCAGTGGAAGATGGCCCAAGTCCTTGGGTCCCAGCACGCACATGGGAGACCCACAGCTCGAGCCATTGCAGCCAACTGGGAACTGAACCAGCAGATGGAAGACCTCTCTGTCTCTCTCTTCTCTCCTTCTCTTACTTTCAAATAAATAAATATTTTAAAAAATTGAAGTTTGAAAACAATTTAATGATGTGACTTCAAATTTAAAATAATATTAAACACTAAGTACCATTTAATCCCCAAAGTGACTGGCAAGCAAAGCAAAGTGACTGCTCAAGCAACACTAACAGAAATATTACATGGGCCACATACATACCACCCAAGT